AGGGAGAGATTGCGGACTTATCCTGTATACAGGATAATGGAAGGAAGTCTGGTTCCGCCCGGATCTCTGGAACTTTGTGGAGCGCGGAGCTAGGTGTAAGCAGTGTCTTCTGTTGTTGGTTCCGTATCTGAATCATCATCACAAAGGAGCCAGGGTTGAGACGGAGTTGTGAATCTCGTGAGTGTTTTCCGCTGACTGACTGGTGAAGCGGGAGCTAGGTTGAGCGGAGATTTGACATGTGGGGTGTGTTGTATGGCGGAAAAGGATTCTGTGTATTCAGTGTACACACACATCCAGGGAATTAACATCGGCATTTGAGTCGGAACAATCGTCTTCCTTATATTTCGAATTTGTTTTAACAATAGTCTTTGTATTGCTATTTAATATATTTAGTTATGTAAAATATCCAGTTAAATTCTGAAGAATAAAATAGTGGAAGCATTTTAAACGATAATCTAGATTATCCTCTCTTGATCCTACACTGTAGATTTAATACCACTATTCAGAAATTAAATTGTTTTTTATAACTTTTAAATATTTTTTTATTTCTTAAAATACGATTAACCAACATTTAATCAAATTTCAGTCTGAATTTTGTATTTAATGTTTGTTTTTCAATTTACTTTATTATTTTTTTATTATTACTTTTACTTCATGTCTCTTTAACATTTGATGTTTGCAAACTATTATTTTAGAAGAAATGTTTAAAGTAGCAGAAAAATTCATGGAGCCCTGCTAATAAGAGTAAAACAATACTTTAACAATTAGATTTACATGATCGAGTGTCGTTAACAATATTTTCCGTTATTTTAAAGTTACCGTTACTTAACGATCTAAATATTTTTAACGCGTTAACGGGAAATTTTCAACAACCGATAACGGCTACAGAACAAATTTCATTAACATTTACTGTCTTTTCCAGGGAGATAAATATGTACTAAAGTTGAAATAAGTAAGTAGCCTAAACTGAGTGGAATAATTACACAACATTGCACACAAGACTATATTTACAGTGAAGAGATGAGTCTTTGCAGGGATTCCTCCGCCATGGCTGGCGGACGTATTCTTCCTGAACCGATCCTCTCAAACCCTTCATCAATACTGGATTATCAGGGTTTCAAACATGGCGAATAGATAAACATGAACTGTCTCTTCTAGTGAATTATAATATCTTTGGTTTGGAATTAGAAGTTGTTTGTTTAATATCGTAAGATATCTTGTTCAAGAGCAGTTCTTAGTGGTCTCTAATCTTCACAATCTTAGACAGAAAGGGAATTTGAACCGGAGACATGGATATTGGAATGGGAGAAGATTTTAACAAGATTATTAATGTAGCAAACAGATTATCAAGTACAATAGATGGCAAAGTAGAATTTGTACACTCTCAGTACAGCTGTATTCTGACGTCACAGTTGTCAATTCAGTTTTGTGCCCGACAAAATTGTTAATAATAGTGATAGTTTTAGAATAAAGTGCTTATCTTACAGTAAAATAAGTGCAATTAAATGTATTCTTTATTTTCTGTTTTACACTTTTTTATCTAATCTTGAAAAACATGTCAACATAATGTGAAAAAATTTCGTTTTTGTTGTCATATTTGACACTTATGACGTCGTGTATGATTGGTTCATTTCTTTGTTTCCACCTATTGTACTTGATAATCTATTTGAATGTACAGTCCTAGGGGTGTCAAAAATGATGAAATAGTGGAAATCTTGAGTACAGAAGACGTCAGCCTGAGTAGGGTTTAAATATGTTTACTTTACTATTTTATGTTAACCCTATTCCTGCCGTGCTGGGGGGGGAATCAATTTGACCCCCCCCCCTGTAGTTTTTTTTACATAACTCAAAAAGTATTTGTCTGAGGCTGTTGAAATTTTCTGACTTTTCCTACATACCCAAAGCCCTCCCTTTAGGCCTAAAACCGGGCTTTAATACTAACTGCCTGAGTCCTCAGGCACACTGCCTGAAAGACTGCTGTAACCTGTAACAAACTAAATCTTTGTTTTGACCCACTTCCGCTTGTCAGATTTTGATAAAATTTAGCTTTTTGGAAAGCCTTTGACATAGGAAAACGAATTGCACAAGTTTTGCGAGAAAAAAATTGCAAATTTTTTGCAAACAACCTGTCAAAGGAAATATGCACATTTTTAGTTTTTCTTGACTAAAAATATTTAAAATTTTGCAAAATTTTTTGCATGTTTGAAATGGCATGGTCAAGGGATTTTTAAAAATGTATAATTTTTCATTTTTTGGACAAATTTTTACTATATAACTGGATTTTGCGATAAAAATTCAATTTTTGCAAGTTTGCAATTTTTTGGCAGATTCTAAAAGTAGAGCACAAGTGCTTTCCAATGATGCATCATTTGTCATATTTGGACATCAAACATGGGATTTAGAGGGGGGGGGGGGGTCAAATTGACCCCCCCAGAGCAAATCCTGGTTTTCAACTACCCCAGCAGAGATAGGGTTAACAATTTTCTCTTTAAGAAGCAACAGATATAAGTAAGATTAGCAGCGATCAAAAGCGCTTATTTTTCGCCGTATGCATATACCTCCTATCATTTCCGAGAACACTCCCTTTGAGTTTCAACTTTTCAAAGATATTTTACTTTAACAGTATGTTCTTGATCAAAATGTCATAAGTTTAGAGTCTTTGAAACCTCTTTATAAGTTTGGAACTTGATAAATGTTATTGAATTGAAAAACTTTACTATCTTCTTTTATTTTAACTTTTGTATGAACGTCAAAGTTTCTTTGTACGTTTTAAAAAATTTCTATAAATGGTCATAACATAATGTATTTGATTAGATTCAATAACCTTAAAACTTGAAGAGCTAGCTATACGCCAGTTTAGATACAGGGTGCCACACAAAAAAAGGACAGTTAAGAAACGACTTGAATATCGTCTTTAATTTAACAATAATAATTCAGTCGTCAACCTAATGTTTCAGGTAACATTCTTGAATTGACGATGGAAAAATTCCCTGCCATTTCCAAAATGTGGTCTTCTTTTTTAGTTTTTTGAAATAGCGGCAGATATGAAGAACGAATCTTGAGTAGTATTGAAAGCTCATTAAAGGCAGACCACGTTTTGGAAGGGCTAGGATTAGAGGTATTCTTTATCATTGTTTCAAGATACATGCATGTAGAAGAAGATTGAAGAATAAATGCCGCAAACTATTTCCAAGATTAAAGACGACCAAAAAGTCTTCTTTCAACTGTCATGTTTCATAGGTCACCCTGCATAATTCTGGTCGGTTAAGTTAGCTTCTTGAACATTTCTTTAAAATGAAAATAAAATTGGCCGAGACGCTGCTCTCCTGAATCCAATAACATCTCAGTTTGAAGATAAACAGAAAACCAGATTTCTTTAATTTCTTCGTAATTCACCTCTCCTCCTCAACCAATTCCCTCCCAGAAATCCAATTCACAACAATACCTTCGTCTGATCAATGATGAATGATATATTTTTCTTTTTCTATCTAAATGTTTTTTTTTAAATTCAAGTCTCTCTTTAAAAGTGAATTGCGGATTTTAGCTTTAGAACCAACGAACATAATTTACATAATCAGATACGTAATTTATATACATCTACATTTGCTAAAGGATTTATATTATAATGTGTTGCAAACTACAAAAGTTTTGGTAGTAGTTGACCCTTGAAATAAAACACAACTAAATCATCTTGTTCTCCTATTTTTGGTATTTTAGCTTTATAATTGGATTTAAACATGCATAGTTAAAAAAACAGGGTATCTAAAAAACCGTAGTTGTAGTCTTTATTTATTTCAAATTTTTTAGGAAAAAATTAATTTTGCATCTTGGGAATTCTATAGTTTACTCCTATCTATTTGATCAGAAATTGTTGTCAGAAAAAATGTCGAAAATTGTTAGTATTGGGGCTATAGCTAACGCACTAAGGTGTTTTTTATACACGCTGTATTTAGCTTTTTTTCTAATTTCCATAACTTTGATGTTCAAAAGTACAGTAAAAAAAGTCGGACTTACAAACGTCGGATGGTATAAACGTTTGACTGGTACAAGCGTCGGACTAATAGGACAAACGTCGGACTGGTACGAACGTCGGACTTATAGGACAAACGTCGGACTGGTGCAAACGAAGGACAAGTACAAACACGTCGGACGGGTTCATTTATGAGGAACGACGTTGGACTATAGCTTAGGTTGAAAAAAGACCATGGTTCTGGGAGATCAATTAAATATTACTCACTCATTGTGATAAAAATCAAAGATAACAGAATCAAGTCTTATCCTTTGAAGGAAGCACTGTATAAACACAAACCAAAAATAAGTTGAGTTTTTGTCACAAACTCAAAGGTTTTAATGCCTTTATCTTTGCAACCCGATATCATAGACCTTTGATATTTTAACTTAAGAAATCTATAAGAACAAATAGTTTGAAAGATTCATAGGTTAATACCATCAGGTTGCATTGATAAAGGGATGAGAATATTTGAGTTAGAGGCAATAACTCAGTTCCTTAAGGTAGATTTTAATTAGATCATTCGATAAAAAGAAATAACTTTTTGAAAATCTTCAAATAAAAAAAAATGTATTCTTAATCCGACCTTTGTACTAGGCTGAAGTTTTTACTTGTATGACGTTTGTACTGTCGCTACGCTCGTGATGCTTTAGGACCCAACAAGATCTTGAAAAGCCTCGGCAATGTAAATAATATTCCATCCAAAGCAACTTTATGTTGCAATCTCTCATTTTCAGTTTCTTTATTAGGTTTGCCCGAAAATCGAAACATTTCGTAAAAGTTATATTATCAAATCGGAAATTGAAATTTTTTCCTCGTTTTCCTTTGAACTGAAAATAATTTTCTTTTCAAATGTTTGGAAAATGTCGTTTAATACTTTTCTTTATTTTTATTAGTAGATCCCTGAGAAACATCCTATAGGAAGTATAAAAATGGAAACAATTATGTTTTATGCAGTGTGGTAATAAATATTCTCCCAGCATATTTATTATAAAAAACAGCCACTATAAATACTAGCATCTGGAGAAATACACAAATAAAAATAAACAATTAGGAGTAAATACAGTTTATGCACTATTTGAAGAGGTACGCGGGATAGGGTTTCTTGAAGCTGTTACTGACGTATCAGATACATTTTCCTATCAACTGGTTTCCGGTAAACAACAGTTAGTTAACGTACAAACTGAGGCGTCCTACGAGAAAAAGATTTGATTCATGGTAGTTTCTTAAAACGCCTCCGAAATCCCCCCCGAACCCTCCTCCCATACATTAGTTAAATAGTTACATAGTAAATGAAATTAAATTATGAAGTGTGCTGGCTCAAATTAAGATTTGAGAGAAAAGTTTAGCATTTTATAACTTATTATGTTCAAAAACTTTCGTTTCATAAAAACTATTTTGTTCGTTTTCTAGATGAACAATTGTTCGTTCAGTAAAAAACGATTCTTTATTCAAATGTTCATTCGGAAAAAAAAACATTTATTCTTTAACGTTTGTTGTGTAAACTATATATACATTGTATTATTTGTATGCACACTGCACAGTGTCCTTAATGCTATATTTTGATAAATAAACAAAAAAGACATTTTCCTTATAATGAACCAATATTTATGAGAAGCCTGTAATATTCTGAATACATACAGATACAATTTATCAAGCAATACACTTAGTATACAGAAAACTATTCTTATAAACCCAGCCGGCCAATGTTGTACAAGGGATAAAATACATTAAAACAGCTGCAGGTACCAATAGAGTCTGCAACCCTTTTCATAAAATAAACTCTAGCAGACATAATAATATTAAGGCTTTTGAAATTAGGTATTACAATGCTAATTCATAAAAAAGACGATATCGAATTCGTCACTGAATTCCCATGTTTTTTGGGACACCCTGTATTACACAGTTAATACGTTCATTTTTCAAGGTCTCTTTTAACCTATCCAGGGGCTTTTTTACCTTTCTATAGTACTGTACCCAATACTTTGCATACAAATAAGTTTTGGCAAGAATTCCTTTAAATTATAACGCCTTAAAAGTAAAAGAATTCAAAAATAAGGGTGTTCTACAAATTAATAAATATCGTATTCAAAAAGAGGTTGCATGATTTAACTTCCGGGATTTGACTTTTACTCGTTAACATCTCTTGTATTTTACTAACTTTCCTCAGTTTAATATAAATTGTAAAACAGTAATAGCCGGAAAAATTAGGTGAGACAATTTACATCAGTTTTTAATCTTAAATTTTCTCTCTTAGTGCATAAAATATACTAAAGAATTTAACTTACAGCAATAAAGGGATCGTTCCCGCTTTTTATTCATTGGAGTTATTTGTATCGTTTGGCTAAATGTATAGTGTTCATTACCTTAATTGGGACATGTTACACTTTTACATTTTTACCCAATTGTTTAAAGAATCTTCATGTTATAACTTGGGTTGTTTATCGTTTTTGAAAACGATTGTTAAACGATTGTATTTTGTTTCGTTTTTCAATGGATTTCAATAATGATCGTTTCGTTTTCGGAAAAAAACAATAGTTTTTAAAAATATCCACTCTTTATGAACTTTTAGAAATGAATAACTATCGTTTTTGAAAACGATCGTTTTTAAAAAACAATATATATATGATTGTTTTTTAGAAAACTATCACTTTCGAAAAAACTATCGTTTTTGAAAAAAAAATATTGACAATCATGTTATCGATCGTTAACGAAGGGTTGTCATTAAACGATCGTTAACAAAACAACGAAATTTATAAAAACGGTTGTTTTTGGGAAAATGATCTTGTGAGGTTAAACTGCAGTGCTTATCCTCTTAATTGAGGCATTATTCACTGTTACATTTTGAGCTTTTATCATGAATCTTTATATTTTATTAAATTATTCTGTTTACATTATGTCTACTAACTGGATGACATAAATAAATCTAAGGCACATACAATGGTGTTTTATTTGTTTAGCAGCATTACTAATTAAAGCTTAATATTAAACTCAAACCTCCTATTTGATATCCCAGAACAGAGGCTGCTAGGGAAGAAAAAACTAGGGGGGGGGGGTCAAACACCTCATCCCAAACCTGTTCAGGAATAATATCAACATATTCTTAGATAGATTAGAAAAGTTACCAGACCTTATTGGAAATAACAAAAATGTGTAAATAAATAATATTGTATAAAAATGACGTTATATTGAAAGAAAATATTTGATCCTGTCTGGAAACTAAATTATATTTTTCATTCAGATATTATATCTTTTTAGCTCCTATATACATGTTAGTGACATAACCTTCTACGCAGTTATACATAAATTGTAATTATATTATTCAACTTAAGTAATTATAGCCTTATAGAAGAGCTGCTATTAAGAGATTTATACAATCTATTTACTTAATTTACTTAATTTACTTATTTTTGATTACCAAATACGTCTTCATATTTCTTTATGGTCATACCCTGCAGGAATAAATTTAATTGAGAGAGTAAGTTGATGTCGAGATCAAACGTTCAAGATTAAGAACACTACAGACTGGTCTTCACCTAACTTTAGCATATAAAAATTTGAATTCTTTGACGAAGTAAGCAAATGGTTACAAAGTCATGCAGCAAATTAAATGAATACACAAAAAGATTAAACAAATGAAATACAACATCAAGTAAAATGCCATCTGCAAATTACATATACATCATATACAGTGCTAATACAAGTTTTTTAAAAATTTATAATTTTTTGTCTCAATAAATGTTGCATGTGAATAGTTTTAATTAATATTTTCTAAACTTTAATTTTTTAAAGATATTTATTTTCCTGTACATTGGTATAACTAAAAATAATATTTTCTAATTCCATTACTTTTATTTACCAATTCATTTTCTTGAATCAAATAATAATTATCAGTTTTGCTTTTAAACATATTACCAATTAGATTACCATTGAAGAATTTAGCATCCGCGCAACTACTTGGATTCAATCCTCTATTAATTATTTTAACTGTGGAAGAGATGCGTCCAAATAAACTAAACAAATATAAAAAAAACTGTTGAGAGAACAGTTTATTTAACCCTATTTGGCATTCAAACTGATGTCTCCTCTACCCAAATGTTTTAATGCAAACACAATTTTGTTACCTATCTTTGTTATTTATAACATTCCGTTTATTTATCCCAACCCATTGTCTTTCTATTGGAAATCCAAATGCTCTATTATCCATTGTAATTCTTCCTGTTCCATCACCGCACATTCTGATATTTTTAGCAATTATTTGATACCATGATTACTAGAAAACAATAGCAATATTGTATCTTCTGTGTTTCTTATTAGGCAAAATGTTAAAAAATTGATTAAAAAATCTTCTTTTACTTGATTAAACAACCTCAAACTGTGATTTTTATATTGCATATTTAGTTTTTGTCTAGATTTTAAAACTTTTTTCTAGTTTTTTTTTGTATAACTTTTTAATTGTTATTTTAAACCTATAGTTTTTATGGAAGACTGTAAGAAACATTTTCCTAATTATGAATTTTCATAGAGCAAATTAAAATCTTACAACTTACAAGGTTGGTGGAAGTAGCTCTCCCTCGTTTACATTTGGATTTGAGAGAGAATGCACAAATGCAATAATTCTAAAACGAAAAAAAAATATTTCATGTGCAAACCCCAATATTTATTTGCAATCCAAATATTTAGGAAAATAGTTGAAACACAAAAATGAAATAAAATATTGGTAAATTACTCACAAATCTAAGTGTATAAAAGTAAATTTAAGTGTAATTTCAAGTGACTCTCCATTTAAATTTACCTATTGAAATCAAGGATGCAAAATCTCTAAATATCTTTAAATCTCTACTTGACGCCCATCTTTAACACCTTGAATTAATATGCCAGGATTAGTGTGGAAGAGGTTTCACAAGGAGGACGTAAATCTAGAGGACTTGATCACTTCTCCGAGAGGACCTAACTGAAATTCCCGTTATGCTCCTACCTGGAGTCCTGGGGATAATACATCAAGTATTCCAAGTAAGTAAGTAAATATTGCAATACCGGATTCAGAAGTTATATTCTATTCTAAACATAATTATGCTCCCGGCTCCTTTTTCTTCTTTGGGATGAAGCTAATATTTATTATTGACCCTGTATTTTATTTTTGGGGATGGAGCTAATAATTACAATTGACCCTGTATTTTATTTTTGGGGATGGAGCTAATAATTACAATTGACCCTGTATTTTATTTTTGGGGATGAAGCTAATAATTACAATTGACCCTGTATTTTATTTTTGGGGATGGAGCTAATAATTACAATTAATCTATATTTTAATTTTTGGGGATGGAGCTAATAATTTACAATTGACCCTGTATTGGGGATGGAGCTAATAATTTACAATTGACCCTGTATTTTATTTTTGGGGATGGAGCTAATAATTACAATTGACCCTGTATTTTATTTTTGGGGTTGAAGCTAATAATATCAATTGACCCTGTATTTTTATTTTTGGGGATGAAGCTAATATTTACAATTTTCATTTTATTTTTGGGGATGGAGCTAATAATTACAATTGACCCTGTATTTTATTATTGGGGTTGAAGCTAATAATATCAATTGACCCTGTATTTTTATTTTTGGGGATGGAGCTAATAATTACAATTGACCTGTATTTTATTTTTGGGGATTAAGCTAAAAATTACAATTGACCTACATTTTATTTTTGGGGATAGAGCTAATAATTACAATTGACTTAGTTTGTTTTTAATCTTCATGCCAAAAACAATCTTAAGAACTGACAAGGGTCAACCCAGACCGAAATATATGTTCAATAAATGTGGAACTAACATCTACATTTTTACTCTACAGAGGTTTAGTCCATCATCAAATATTAAATTTAATTGTATTTTATTGTTGGGGATGAAGGTAAAAATTACCATTGACCAGTATTTTCTTCTTTGGAATGGAGTTAATAATTACAATTGACCTAGTATTTTCTTTCTGGAAATGGAGCAAATAATTACAATTCACCTGAAGTTTTCAGGAGCCTGACTTTTTCCCTTAGGTAAAGCTAGGTTTCTAGGCCACCCACATTCATCTCTTGTCTATAAATAAAAAAGAAATTAAAATAAAAATCTCTAGCATTTTTATGCAACAAAAAGTCTAGTATGTTTCTACTTAAATCAATTCGTTCATAATAAGAAGTTGGAAAAGTAAAAAAAAATTATCATTTTGGTGCTAGCCCTTAAGCAAAGAAGAAAAAAGAACGAGAGTGTGGGGGGGGGGGAATTAAAAGCATCTAGCGCCCAAATAAGCCCATTGAAGAGAATTGATTATAATGCTGATCAGGAAAGTAAATTCCAAGATTTCAAATGTCTATAAAAATTGCTTTACAATATAAATACTTATTTTTTCAAATGCTAATCAATGTGATTGAAAAAAGATCAAGAAAGATATTTGAAAATACCATAAATTTCCCCACCTTTGATAAAAAATGCTTAAATTTTTGAAGCATAAAAATATTTATGGACAAAAATGATAAAAAATCTGTTTTAGAATTATTTTTAATGATATAGACTTGAAATCTAAGCACCCTCCCCCCCCCCCCTATGTGAACTATGCCTAACCCTGAAGCTAATTACTAAAACGAATGAAAGACCTAAATATTTCCATTACCTTCCAAAAGGCTGAACTTGTATCATCTAATCTATTAATACTTTGATATGTTGCCCCATTTAACTTCTGTGTAAATCTGTCCAGTTCAAAATAGAATCTAAATCTATTTACATATTTTGCTTGACTAAATTAATATGGCCATATTTTTTTTTTGTGGCAACATGCTCAATGGAATGGTTTTTGACTTTTTGACAGGAAACAACAGAGGCTGAAATTTTGCATGCATCTTTTTATGGATTTATATTTATATGGAGCTCAAAGCATGATTGGAGGTCATTCACCTCTATTTTGCATTATGGATGCAAAATTTCTCACTTTCATCTCAAACTCAGCCTTTAAAAAATGTTGTGTCAAAAAGTGTCTATTTGGCTCCCTAGTTGCTTGGAAAAAACTGTAAAAATTCATGGTTTTTAAAAATCCACCAATTAAAAAATTATTCAGTACCAGTACAATTGTTGGACCCACAAACGTCAGGTGGTACAAACCTGAGACTTACAAACGTCAGACAGTACAATCCTGGGTCGAACTGGAACAAACATTGGACAGTACCAACTTCAAACCAGTAAAAACGTCAGACCAGTGCAAAAGTCAGACCAGTACAAATGTCAGATGGGGGGAGTCAAGAGTTCCTCAACCAGTAATCACCACCACCCAAATGTGTTTTGCGGCAAGCCCGCTCCTCAGTTGGTAATCTCCACCACCTCAATTTGTAATCACAATAAACTTTTGTTTTCTGAGATTTGAATTTGATGTACTTTTAACATAATTTTCGACATCTATCGGGGTTTTATGGCATCTGTATTGACTTAAACTTAATTTTCAAATTATTTTCAGATTTGTTTGGTCAACAAAAACTGAGAATCAAGGCACAAATCATTTTAGCCGAATCTTAGATCCAATTCACCAATTTAATGACTGCATTTCATGATTGGCGTTAAGATACTAAAAGGTCAGGCTGCCTGTTTACTAGAAATTATCTCATCCCACACAAAGTAATATCCATCTCCTTTAAAAGATATTTTCAAAAAACCTTTACAGTGTTTAGATTTTTGTATTGGCCTACTCGAGTTCAACATCAACAACAAAACTAATTATATGCATAGAAAGTACTTAAATTTTACTAAAAATCATCTCATCCCACATAAAGTAATATCCATCTCCATTTGAAAGATATTTTCAAGAAACCATTACAGTGTTTAGATTTTTGTATTTGCTTACTCGAGTTCAACATCTACAACAAAACTTATTATATGCATAGAAAAAACATAAAATTTTGAAAAATTAGTCTCATCCCACCCCCTACTGAAAATAAAGTATTTAGTCCACTAATAATGGGTTAAAGTTTCCTCTCTATATAAGGAGTTTAAAACAACATTCAGAGGAAAATGCCACAAACATTCTTAAAACATTCTTAAAGCGAAACTTGAAACTAAAAAACGTAATATATTTCTAGCACTTAGTGTGGCATATTTATTGATTTATTTTCGAAACTAAGGAGCAATAAAGAAGGCTTTAACAATATTGTACACCTTAGGGCCATAAACAGAGGTCAATATGGTCTTATTTCTAAGAAATATGCGATTTAATGTTATGCTTATTTTGGCTGATTACCAATTGAGGTGGTGGAAATTACCAATTGAGGAGCGCGCTTGCCGCAAAACACATTTGGGTGGCGATGATTACTCGTTGAGGAATTCTGGACTCCCCCCTTGTCAGACCAGTACAAACGTTGGACTAAGGAAAAAGAATCAATTGAATTTTAAGATAAAAAACAAAAATTTATTCACTGGTCTAATAAAAATCTATCCAAAGGAAATGAATTCTTGCCACTAACTCAAATATTCTCATCTCTATATCTTTGCAACCTGGTAATCTGTTTGTTCTTATAAATTTCACAGGTTGAAATACAACATCGGGTGGCAAAGATATAGATATATTGAAATATTAGAGTTTGTGAAAATTAAAATTAACTCCTTTTTGGTCTGTTATTTCAAACAGTGCTACCTTCAAAGGATGAGACTTTATTCAGCTTTGATTTTTGATTTTCATCACAATAAGTGAGTGATTTTTAAATATTTTCTTATATCAATGGTCTTTTTTTTCAAATTCAACCAAAATCTGACGTTTTTCTTAATAAATGAACCTGCCTACTCCTGTACTACTCCAAGGTTTATATCAGTCCCTCATTGGTACCAGTGCGACTTTTGTATGCCTGACATTTGTACTGTCTGACCTTTGTGACATCTGACGTTTGTGTGTCTGAGGTTTGTAATGGTACCAAATATTCTAAAAATGTTTTAATGTTGGAATATGATGGCCAAATAGTGGCTTGAAAATTAACAATTAAAAGCTAAAATTGTCAGCCTAGAAAAAAATATAATTCAAGTAAATATTAGAGCAAGAAAAGACATACTGAATTTGACTGATTGAATGTATAGTTAACAAAGTAATAATAGTTCTAAATTCTTACACAAATTTTTCTTTCACAAGGAAGACTCGAAAAATAACCTTTTTGGTTGATCGAACTCTATTAAGTAATCTGAAAAATTATAAATGATTTAGAAATTGTAAGATAGTTGTAAAAAACCATTTGCAGATTAAAGTTGACCTAATTTTAATATTATACTGCATATGATCTAGTTCATATTTGTCTCCTACTTTCCTCCAGAATGTTTCAACCTAAAAAAAAGAATGGGTTACAAGATACAAGTTTTTTTAAACCAAAACAAACCTTCTTGTTAACTTATTTTTGTTAGTGACTCTGTTTGTGATTGACTAAGTTTTAAAAAGTTAGTAATTATTAGCTGTCAAAAGATAACCACATGGACTGTGTTACCTATTGTCATTCAAGTCAAAATTTATTTATATTTTTGGCTCGCTTGTACATCTGTGTATGCAGATTTTTAAATCAAGAATTTTGTCAATTTTTACAGAAAAATCTGCTATACTTAAAATTTTACAATTCCCCAAGAGAAGCAAGATTTAAATGTTTAAACTGTTGCTAGAAGGGTGGTGGGAAGCACCCTAAAATTCTAGTAATATTTGCACTGGTGCCTGGCGTTGCCTGAGAAATTTTTAAAAACTTTAAATTTAAAAAATAAAAATTAATTTCGAAGGATTTTCTTCCAAATTTTTTTTAAAAATATAAAAAATTATTATATGGATGAAGAATTTCCAATGGAATAGGTGATGAAATATTATAAGATTTTAGTTTTGACTAAAATAAAAGTGTCACCTGATTGAGTTGTTTACATCTTGATGTTAGTACAGCAGAGTGTAATATTATTCCTGAAGTAATACTAGATTTGTTTTAATATCACAAATAAAAGAGAAAAAAATTCAAAAAGATGAATTTTTTTTCATAAACGAAAGATAAAAATATGCTCAAGATTTTACCTCGTGGTGGGAGAACATCATGCCGCTGGGCATTCTTAATCACAAGTTTTATAACAGCATAAAAATAAAATAATAGTGATAAATATAGATAAATATAGTATTTGAAACTTACCAGGTAATCTGTGTATGATTGATCAACAGCTAAATGCCACCTACAGACAATAGATTAGATTCCATTAGATTTAACCCTATTCCTGCTGGGGGGGGGGGTCAATTTGACCCCCCTGTAGTTTTTTTTTACATAACTCAAAAAGTATTGGTCTGAGGCTGATGAAATTTTCTGACTTTTCCTACATACCCAAAGCCCTCCCTTCAGGCCTAAAACCGGGCTTTAATACTAACTGCCTGAGTCCTCAGGCACACTGCCTGAATGACTGCTTTTTCCTGTAACAAACTAAATCTTTGTTTTGACCCACTTCCACTTGTCAGATTTGGATAAAATTTAGCTTTTTGGAAAGCCTTTGCCTAAGGAAACGAATTGCACAAATTTTGCGAAAAAAAATTGCATTTTTTTTGCAAACAACCTGTCAAAGGAAATTTGCACATTTTTAGTTTTTCTTGATTAAAAATCAGGTTATTTAAAATTTTGCAAAAATTTTTGCATATTTGAAATGGCATGGTCAAGGGCTTTTCAAAAATGTATAATTTTTCATTTTTTGAACAAATTTTTTTGCAAACATTTTTACTATATAACTGGGTTTTGCGATAAAAAATTTAATTTTTGCAAATTTGCAAATTTTTTTGAAGATTCTAAAAGTAGAGCCCAAGAGCTTTCCAATGATGTATCATTCGTAATATTTGGACATCAAACATGGGATTTAGAGGGGGGGGGTCAAATTGACCCCCCCCAGCATATCCTGGTTTTCAAGTACCCCAGCAGAGAAAGGGTTAACAAAGGAATAATTATTTTCTTAAAACATGTTTTTTTAAAAGTGAATATTTGCAAATTATCTTTTTTCCATCTCATAATCTGAGTTTGTTTCCCTTATTTCCATTTGACAGCCCAAATTTTTATTTTGAAAAATCTTTTTTATTTGTTTTTCTTCTTGTGATTTTTAACAACATTTTTTTGTCTTTTAATCGACTTTGATGGTTACTATATCGTTAGAACTGACGAGGGTCAACCCAAACCGAAATATATTTTCAATAAATGTGGAACTAACATCTACTTTGTTTACTCTACAGAGGTTTGGTCCATCACCATCACCGAATTTTAAGTTTTAACAATTTACTGTCAATAGCTTCTCACCTGAAACAATGGATCTCTTCCAGATGCTAAGAAAAAAAATTTGGTATATTCCTAGAGAACAATTTTTGGACCCCCCCCAGGCCCCCCCCCCTCCTATCAATTTTGTACATGGGTCTGCCAAGAAGTGTCTGAACTTAACCTAACCTGTTGCCTCAGCGCTCGGCCCCCTAGCCTGTCCTAGCCGCAGCACTTGGCCCAGAAAGTGTCTAAAATAACCTAACCCATGGCCGCAGCGCTCAGCCCCCTAGCCCATCCTAGCCGCAGCCCTTGGCCCAGAAAGTATCTTAACCTAACCTAACCCTAAATAACAAAAAAATAAATAATAATAAGTTTGCTAAAAAGTAAATGGTCATGTACAAAATTGATAGGAGAGGGGGGGGGTCCAAAATTTGTTGACTAGGACAGACCAAAAAATTTTATTTTTGCAAATATATTTTGTACAGAAACAAATATTAAAATGTAGAAATTGCAGATTAAGATGTCCAATCTTTGCATTTCTTAAACCATCCATTTAAATTATATTTTTGATGATAGTAGCAAGGATCAAATTTAGTGACTATTGAATAGTTATTTTAAATGAAATTTTGAAATTTTACCAACAGCTGAATTCATAATTCCACTTTTTTCATTTGCTCCCACACACTCTTTACTAAGCAATTAAATATTTAAAATTTTAGATAATTTTAAAAATACTTCAAATAATAGCTCACCTTATAAATGTATGTCCTACGTTATGATAATCCTCACAAGCACGTCCAAAGATTTCAATATCCATCAGTTTTGGTTGACTATTATTTGTAAAGAGTCTAAGGTTAAAGATGGTATGCCCAAATAATCATGTATTTGCATGCAAACAGAATTGACTTCTAAAAGGTTTGAATATTTATATGTAACCTAAGGCCAAATTTCAAGAATTTAATATGCATCACTGATCCGCAATTGAGCATGTTGCCTCAAAACTCTAAAGAAGTTAAAGTGATACCAACCATGTTTAAAACATGACTAATATTAGAGCTGTTGGCCACAACTTAATTTTTTTTTAAATCATTCAAAATATTATGTTTTCAGTCTTTAATTCTTTCTAATGCCTGAAGCATGCTTGCTCTCTTTGATTTATCTCAAACACTTAAATAAGAGACTAATACATTTTGTTGATGTTTATATTTAAAGAATAAGCCCCAAGGTAGCTAATATAAGACAGATTTTCAAAATTTTGGAAAAAATGAAAAGTATCATCATTAACCAGCATTTATCACCCTAGTATGATTAGTAGTAATTCAGTCCATTTGATATCGCCGCTAAATTTCTTTACTTTTCTCCTATTGGTGGATTTTTTTAAAGATAGATAGATAGAATGATGATAGATAGATAGCACTGAAGACACATTGAAACCTAATTAGATAATCATTTTAAAAAAAAATTAGTATGTTCCTACATTTTCATCGTTGTTTTATAGTTTAGTGTTAATTATTTTTTATTTATAAAAATTTAGATTTTTTGTTTGTTTTCGGGGCCCTCGGTTAAATGCAAAAGTTTGAGAGAATGCCGCAACTTGTTTGTTTATTATATAAACATGTTGTTTCGGCCGAATTGAAATGACGTTATAATTTTCGTGATATTTATCGCTAATTAAATGAATGATGGGCATGTGTGGCTGTAGTTAATGTTCATTTGAACTATACTGCCGTTTGATTTTTGAACTATTGGTAGTCTGAACTATTGTGCATTCTTACTACTGAGAACAACGTCACTACATGCAGTTCA